CACCCACACATCCACACACACACATACCACACACACTCACCACACACACACACACACACGCACACTCGCACACACGCACACACACACACACACGAGGGGAGGGCGCATCTGCCTGACAGTTGCCCCACACTTCAGCAAGCTCTGCGCAGGGGAGCGACGGCCCCCCCTTGCAGCCAAGTGTGCGACAAGCTCTTATACAAGGATCGCAGGACACCTGGGCCAACTTCATGTTCTCAGCAAGCGCTGGGCCAGCCTTGTGCGTGCAGCCTCGTGCATGCATGAGATGGGGACAGAGTTTTCCTCGCCGCAAGCACTCTGAACCTGCAGCTCACATCCATGAGGTGATTACGGTGAGGGCACTGAGCGCGGAACCCCTGGATAGGGAACCCAGGGTCTGGAAGCTGGTGGAACTCCAATCGTGGGATGGGCATCACCGCCACCCTCACCAGAGAAGGAATCCTCCAGGGTCGGAAGCCTCCTGGGCATACTCCTTAACGAACGCCCCATACCGTAATTGATCAATGTCGTGCCCAGCGTCCGCCCCCAAGTCAGTGTCCACGAGCAGCACAATCGGCGTGGCAACACCGGGTGGACCGACCTTGGCCAAAGTATGCCACCACTCGTCAGGGAGGGCTGGGAGGTCATGCGCACGCGCAGCGCGTGAGCCTGTGGCGACCGTTGTCGCGATGGTGCGAAGAGTTGGCAAGGCGCTGCTTTCATTTCTGGTGATCATGCGCACTCAGAGCGCGTATGAAACCTGACGCTGGTTTTGCCCTGTCGCAGGGATTGCGAGCGTGACGCAGACGTAAACTTGGGAAGGCTCATGCAATCCCTCCCTGCAACCGCAATGCACCTAATTCTTCTCCGACGGCGCCAGTTGCAGTGGATTTGCAGCTGGTTGTGCTGCAGCGTCTCGTGAGTGCCAGCTGCAATTATCACGAAGTTGGCAAGCCGCGCTCAACTGCACCCACCGCGTATGAGTATGAATGAGGAGGAGGAGGAGGAGGAGGAGGAGGAGGAGGAGGAGGAGGAGCCCTCTCGCGCACGAGCATGAATGAGAGAAGCATCGCGCACGCGCAAGCGAGCGCCGCGAGCCTTCTCGCACTCCTTCCACTGCTCCTGCTTCTCCTCCTTCAGCTCCTCGAAGCCCTCGATCAAGCTGATGAGCAGCCTGAAGACATCGTACTCGTGGCCTGCCCACTGCAAGCCACTTGCCAGAGGCACCCGGAAAGCACAACCCTTCCGTGACTGCTGACGTCTTCCTCCTCCGGCCCTTGTGCCCCGAGAGTCCCTCTGCGGGGGCACTGTCTCGTCCCGGATCCTTTTTTGATGCCCCCGCGGCCCAGAACGGGCCTCGGGGCCATCAAAAAAGGAGGTCAGGAGGAGGAGGAGGAGGAGGAGGAGGAGGAGGAGGAGGAGGGCAGAAGGAGGAGAAGGAGGAGGAGGAGGAGGAGGAGGAGGAGGAGGAGGAGGAGGAGGCAGGCCGAAATCGGAGAAGGGCGCCAGCATTGACGAGGTCAATCCCTCGGAGGTCTGGGTGGCCCTGCGGCGCGCACGGGGGCCGCGCACCGCCGAGGGTCGCCCGCGTGTACAGTCGGGGCGTTGACCTAACCTAAATAAGGAACGAGGCCCCCGTTTTCCATAAGTTGAACTCCGATTTCCTACCGAAAACATAAGGAAAACCTGAGGCAAGCTGTGAAACACTTAAGGAACGCGGAGCCCCTCCCCAACCAAAAGGGTTCCTTCTTCAGGGCCCCGACTGTAGCCGAGAAGCTGACGATGACTGCTGCTGGGCATGCGGCGTTCGCCGACGGGTGGTCCACATTCCCAGACCAACATGGCTCTATCTGGGCGCAACGTGGGCACCCACAGACCTCTCGATCCCCTTCCCGGGGACCCACTTCTCCCCCTGAGTTGTCCTTGGACGAGCCTGGAAGCGGCCCACGCACTAGGAACAGCGCGAGAAGCCTTTGGCGGTGCGCCTTTTGCTTGCTGGCCTTCTGCTTGTCTCGAGCCGTTGGAGGTCTGAGCTGCTTCTGGAAACGGCAGCAAGCCCCGCTGAGAACGAGCAAGGGGTGCTGTCAATCAATCGTGGCCCCACCCAACTCCCTCCTGCCGCGCCATCGCTCCCACATTGGACGTCTCGACGGGTGAGGGGCGCCCACCGCGTCCACCACCGCCGCGGAGGGGGAGGCCAGGTGGGAGGAGGGGGAGGAGAAGGAGGAGGAGGAGGAGGGGGAGGGGGAGGGGGAGGGGGAGGGGGAGGAGGAGGAGGAGGAGGAGGAGGAGGAGGAGAGAGAGGAGGAGGAGGAGGAGGAGGAGGAGGAGGACCAGTGCAAGCCCAAGGCTCATCAACGACGTTGGAATACACACTCCCTCCAAGCTCCCTTTTTATAGGCTCCTGCCAGGATGCACTTCCACCGAGGAAAGCGCCCCGTTGGGGGACAAATTTGTGACACTCCTGAAGCGTGCCACAACACCATTCTCAGAACTTCAACGCCACCAATCAACCTGAATCGTGCCAGAGCGCCATTCCTGAATCGTGCCAGAACCCCACTCCTGGGACCTCAACAACCAATCAACGTAACTGTTGCGCCCTGACAACCCTGAACCATTTCAAAACGCCAATTCTGGCACGTTGACCATGACAATTCATGAAAATATTGCACGTGTTCAAAGCGACGATGCTCGGCGCTAAGACGACACCAACATTTTGAAAACGAACCGCCCTAAATCCGTAAAACTCTTGCGAACTGTAAAACGAATGTGCGCGGCGCCAAGGCGAAAACTACATTTTGAAATCGAGCCGCCCTCAATCTGTGAGGCTCTTGACATGTCAAGAAACGGATGTGCGCAACGCTGAGGTGACAACCACATGTTGTAAACGACCCCCCATCAATCCGTGCAACTCTCGCATGTTTTCTCAACCAAAGAAACAGCGAATGTGCGCGGCGCTGCGGCGAGAGCCAGCTTTGGAAGCGACCCGCCCTCCATCTGTGAACATGTTCTCGGGATGAATGAGGGGCAACGATAGGGGGGGACTGGCACAGGGGGGGATGCATCGACCTGGAATCGGCGACACATCGCCGATAGATCGGCCACAGGGCCCCGATAGTGAGTCCGCACCTTGCCGGGCAGGTCAGGGCTATCGGGCCCCTATCGGCGATCAACGGGGGATTGGGGGTCGATGCGTCCCCCCTGTGCCTAACCCCCCCCCCATATCGTTGCCCCTGAATGAAGAGCCGGCCCCGGGGAGAGGCTCAGGACTTCCGGGGACCGCGCATTGGAAGCATCAAGAGACGAGGCATGTCCGGACTGCCGCCCCCCGCGGCGGCAGCGCTCGTGCTTCAGGTAGTGCCAGGGGTGGCCACAAGCTACAGGGGTGCCGCCGGCTCGCAGACCGAGCTGTTAGTTCGACGGTCCTGAAGAGAAATTAAAGCATGGTCCAAAAACAATCAACAATAGTCAAAAGAGCGCGAAACATCGTCATCATCCTAGTCTTCTGCTATTCTTGAGTTTTCCTCCCGTAAAGGGACGTGCCCGACTTACGGCCAGCTTGGGGGATCCCTGGGAAGGTTTGGGCAGCTTGACGGGTCCTTCTCCTGGCTGTGGCGGCCCCCGTGTGCCAGTAATCACCACTGTGATACACGGGAGGCTTTCGTCGTGTTGGCGCGCGGGCTGGTTTTTCCGACGCCGCTGGTGCCGAACTCCGTGCTGTGAGCGACCGCGGTGCTCCCCATCATGGCGCAAGTCGTTCGAGGTCGGCCGCCACCGGGCCGCTTGCGGCGGTCAGCCCTGCACCCGGGGAACGCAGACTGGCATAAACGTGCGCCTGTTTTGTTTGTGGATGCGGGCAAGTTTACTTGCATGGCGCTCGCCCCCCCCCCCCCCCTTCCCCTCCCCGCCCCCCTCGCCCCTCTTCAGACGAACGCCAGCGTGCAAGTGCCTTTCGACTTGCGTGGCTTCCGCACGTGCAAGTCGTTTGCGGCCTACTTCAAGTTCAAGCCCCCGTCCACGCAAGTCACTTTTCCAGAGTCTTAAAAAAGCATGCTCTTGCGGCGGTCAGCCCTGAACTCGGGGAACGCAGAATGACATAAACATATGCAGAACTCGGAGGTCCGATGAGATTCCTCGGATCGGCGCTGGAGCCCCCGGGTGGCTTCTCCGGCGCCGCCCCTGGCGTGCTCCACGCGCCAGGGAGGACGGTCCAGCGCCGATCCGAGGAATCCGCGCGGACCGCTGAATTTTCAAATTTACGTCACTGTCTGTTCCCCTATGAACTCCCGCGCTGGGGTCGCCTTAGCATGGCTGTCGCGCCGACATGGCACGGACCTACTGGACCAGAAAACAAACGACACCACCCCACCTGTGGCCCCACGGGGCGTAGCGTATACCAGGTCATCAGGCGTGGGCTTACGTGGCCTCCCCTGCGTTGGGTTTTACGTGGCCTACCCTGCGGACACTGATGGGCCGCAGCGCAGCATGGAGGGCCGCAGGTGGGGTGGTGCCGTGTTTTTTTTTTTTTTTTTTTTTTTTTGTTTAGAAAAACATAAACTTTTGGCGTTCCGCCCGGATTTCTGGGATCTGGTCTGAACCCCCCTCCCTGGCGCGCGGAGCGCGCCACGGGCGGCGCCAGGGGCGCCGCTGGGGGGGGGCTCAGCGCGGATCCAAGAAATCCGCGCGGGACGCATAAGTTTATGCTTATTGAGTTTTTCCTTTTTCGATGTCTGGTCGATACGGTAGGAAGGGAACAATGACTGACCACTCCCCCTTCCCCCCCTTTCCCCAAATTCAAAGTTGGTACGCGCGGGGAAGACTGCTGTCGAAGTGCAGCTCATCCAAACCCCCCCGCCAACATTGATCATGGGGGGGCATTGACACATGGACGCGGCATGAATGCTCGCTGACTTCTGCAGAGGCCTGTCGCAAGCGAGGCGAGGTCCGCGACGGGGACAACGTCGGACCGGGACGACATCGGGGATGTCTGCGCCGAGACCTGGTGTTAGGTCGGGCATGCCTCCCTGCAGGCGGATCTTGGACAAAAAATTAGTTTGGCGCAGGACCCAACCATATGCAAGTGTGAATACTGCAATTATGAATATCATCTTCGCCCGCACTCCCTATGGGGCCACGAACCGTGCGAGGGGCGTGCCGACATGCGTGGCGGGGCACACAACCCGAGCGAAGACGATAGGTCTGTGTGCGAGAGACTGAGAGCGAGTGAGTCTGCTTGTGGATGAGTCTGTGCGCGCGTGAGGCTACCTGCATCAATGTCGACGCCCATGTCGGCACGCCTCTCACGAGGGTCGCGCCCGCTTCCTTCCCGTTCTTCTTCTCACTCTTTGCCCGTGCACGCCCGGGTCCAAGGCTGCGGGCGCGACCCCGCACGGAGTCCCCGCGACGCGCGCTGGTCGCCCCGAAGGGGTCCCAGCGACGCGCGCGGGTCGTCCGCTGCGCGGAGCAGAAAGCGAGCAGGCTGGCTCCCGCCTGGGATGCGCGGCCGGAAAGCGGCCTCAATACGTCGAATACGACAAAAAAACGCAGAAAATCGAACATCGCCGCCACGCGAACTCCGCCACTGGGCCGCCATGCGAAGGCCTTCGGTGGGGCCCCTTACGGGGTCAGGAAGCGCTGTACTGGGTGGTGGATGACGCATGCGGGCGGTCCAGTGGGACTTTCGGTGGGGCCCTCTATGGGGCCACGAAGCGCTGTACTGGGTGGTGAGTGGCGCATGCGGGCGGTCCCGCTGGAGCCTTCGGTGGAGCTCCCTATGGAGCCACGAAAAGGTGTGCTGGGTGGTGGATGACGCATGCGGGCGGTCCCACTGGAGCCTTCGGTGGAGCTCCCTATGGAGCCACGAAAAGGTGTGCTGGGTGGTGGATGACGCATGCTGGCGGTCCCACTGGAGCCTTCGGTGGAGCTCTCTATGGGGCCGCGAAGCGCTGTACTGGGTGGTGGATGACGCATGCGAGCCGTCCCGCTGGGGCCGTCGACGCATGCGGGCGGTCCCACTGGGGCCTTCGGTGGCTCCCTATGGAGCCACGAAAAGGTGTGCTGGGTGGTGGATGACGCATGCGGGCGGTCCCACTGGAGCCTTCGGTGGAGCTCCCTATGGAGCCACGTAAAGGTGTGCTGGGTGGTGGATGACGCATGCTGGCGGTCCCACTGGAGCCTTCGGTGGAGCTCTCTATGG